ATATGACATTGCCAATTTTTTGCAATCATACTCAATATTAATAAACTCTTTCTTTTGTTCTCTGTTATTCCTTATTTATAATTGAAATGAAATTAGCACAATTATGCAAATGCCCATTGGGCTGAATTTGTTGGCCCAGTTGGAAATTGAAGGCCCACCTCATTTCTGTTGTTTATTTGGTGCAAGAAACGTGTTTTGAAGAATGGCTTATAGTTGTGTTTTCACTTACCTGGTTTTTTTGAAAGCCTCAGATGTCACCACGTGTCGCCTCCAACACCGTTGGATTGGTGACCGTTACAGTTTATTTTGTTAATCATTTACAGTTGATTTTTGGTTTCTTTTGGTATACATATTATTGTTGATTTGTGAGCTAATCTGTTTGATCTCCTCCCAACAGTGCCGTGTTATGAATCAGGATAATGAGATTCAGTTACATTTGCAATCTCTCTTTATGGCAAGTGATCCTGTGATTGACTTCTAGAAAAGTGCACGATTATTTGTTCACTGTGGAAGATATCCGATTTAAGGTTTTATGAGTTCTCAAAACCTTTTCCTTTGAAAATGACTTTTTGGGTTTTGATTATAGGTTTATGATTTAGTGGAGGCGATGTTGATAAATCCGGATGAAGTTACAAAGATGACAACTCAGCCTGAAGAAACCACAAGTGCATGTGACCTACGAGATTGTTTCAAGAAACTTAGCTTAATCTTTGGCGGCAAAAATAAACACTCGTCAAAAGCATCCACGGAAGATCCAAAGAACAATGATCCTAACTCAACGTGCCAACCACTCTCATGGACATTTTCAGAGAAGCCTCCAAAGCCCGTGCTTTTCCGGCAGATAAACCTTCCAGTTCAGTTGAAACTGACTGGACAATTGTTTGAACATGAAATTGTATATTTTGTGTCAAAACTGAAATAAATGTCCAGAATTCTGTCTTCATTTGTTTTTAAAGGAATGAGAAACAGAAAAGCCGTTTGTACCATGGACTGAGTTATTCTGCCTATTGTTTTCCATAGGGCTGGGCATGGTTCGGTTTGATTCTCTTTAGTAAATGGAACCGTCGGATCTAAATTTAATTATGGAACCGCTCATATACGATTCCATTCGGTTTAGTTCAGTTCGGTTCCCCGAGTTCGGTTCCCCGATTTCGTACAATAATTAAAATTTTTTTTATATTACAACAACGCTACATTAATTCGACTATGACATGTTCAATCTTAATTCTTATAAAATAACGTTATTTAATTTCGTGATATCTTTTGCACTTCTCTTTGTTGTTGAGTTCTTTATAAATTTGACCATTAAAATAACGGGAAGAAGAATATGACGAGTTTACAATAATAGAACGACAAAAAGGACACTACGGTAGAATAAGAGATTTTGGTAAAACTTATATCAATTTGATTAAGTTGGATTTGACTAGAAATTAGAAATAGTAAAATCATAGTCTGGACTTAGACTAAATTAATTATTTAGCAAATTTATTGAAAAAATAAAATAATTTGACTTATTTAAGATAAAATATTAAAAAAATTTAGGGAGATTCGATTCTTATTCGATTTTTCGGTTCTTGATCTAGAATAGAGAATCGAACCAAACCCGTCAATTCTCAATTCAGATACCCGTTCGGATATTTAACTTAAGAAGAATCGTTCGGTTCAGTTCGGTTCGAGAGTTTTGTCCAGCCCTAGTTTTCCACACTTCTTACTATAACTAATACAATAATGCTACTTTGACAGAAATCTTAACATAACTGCAGGTAACAATAGATGATTGAATGAAAAAGCCACTGTGTTTTGAACTGTCCAATGATAAAATGTGACGTGACATTATATCAAATTGTATGTCAACCTTAATGTTCATGTAAAATGATTTTACCTAGGTTAAGGTCCTACAGTCTATTGCAGTAGACAAAAATTGAGAATATGATAATTTAATATATTAGTCAAGAGAGTCTCCTAGCACATTTCCTTAATTGAGTTCTTTTCTCGAAACGATCATTTGCATTCAGTTAAATATTTTTAGTGTAATTTAGTTAGAATATTAGTCACTCTATCGAAACCATTAATTGTGTGTTTATTCATTTTAAGATCGAATTAATTGAACTTAAGCTAAAATCTAAATCCTCGTGAGAACAATATTGCTTACTCACTTTTATTTTTACGTGTCAACGAATTCGTACACTTGTAAGATTTTAACGTACATAAATTAATTTTTAACTCATTTTATGTACGCTTGCAAGATTTCAACCAAACAGAAATTAATCTTTGACTTTAACTCATTTTATAAATGATTTATTGTATCGAAGAGATGCTTAAAAGAAGAACTCGTCCCTTCGAGACGCAATTATCATTAAAAGTTATAAGTTGTATAAGAGGTTGAGAAAACATTTGGATGTGAGAGAGGGCAAAACAGAAAACAAAATTTTCTCTTTCATTCTCTTTGGTTCAGACTCACATTTATAAAAAAATTATTGTGACCCATGAAATGCGTAATTAAAGTTAATAACTAATTAAAATTAATTATTAACTTTAATTTAGTTTTTTATCCATTTTTAACTAAACCAAACATATGCTATATCATTCTCTTTGGTTCAGACTCACATTTATAAAAATATTATTGTGACCCATGAAATGCATAATTAAAATTAATTATTAACTTTAATTTAGTTTTTTTTATCCTTTGTCTGTATTATGTTTGTCTGAGAACTTAAACTGCCAACAATTGGCAATCCTGGTCTTAGTCCTCTGGGTCTTTGCATCTGCAAATAATCAATCATAATCTTTATTTTTAATTATTCTACTTAAATTATCTGCTATCTGATTATTGCTACCTTTAATATGTTCAAAATTAATTATTAATCCAGTATTAGTAATTCTATCTATAAAATTTAACCATCTTCTTCGATTACTTCTTTTATTTTCTAATTTCATTTTATTAACAAAACTTACTATTGCCTCACAATCTGTTCTTAAAGTAATTTCTTTTTTAGAAATAATAAATAATTCAAAAGAGTCTAATGCATAATTAACTGCAAGTAATTCTAAATCTATGCTACTTATATTACCTTTTTCTTTATAATTTCCACTATTGTATCTAACAATTTTTTCAAGATCTTTACCTGCATACTTATTGGGTTTTGCAATTAAA